CGGCTCCGCTGCTCCTGGCTCAGCCTCACGGTACGTAGCCGGGGAACATCCTCCCGCTGCTGCGGGATGCTAGGAGGCGCATCGGCTGACAGATGAGAAGATATTCCAGCATTTCCTCTTTTTTTTTTGTTTTCCCCGAAAGTTATTCTGGTTTTGCAGTGGTTATTTTTCTTTGCCCGAGATAAAGAGACCTTAGGATTTCTCGATGATGCTTTTAAATCTTGCCGTGCGTTTTTTAGCTGAGTGAGGTTCGTGTTTGTGCTGAGGATTTACTCACCACACCAAGAGCCTCAGGAGTTTCAGGGCAGGCGGCTGCAGGGAATCTCTCAGCATGCTCCTAATTAGCCCCTGCCCCGCAGGTACGTGCTGTAAGTGAGAAAATGGGGGAGACTTTCTACTGATTTTAACTTTAGGAAAAAACCCCAAACCACAAACAAGCAAGCAAACCAATTCCCCAGACATCTCCCTGCCAGTCCTGGGAAATTTGCTGTGATAAATGAAGTTATCAAAGAGATTAATTTTAAAATTTTGTTTTGGAAAGGAAATCAAAAAATGGAAAATTTATTCCCATCTTATTTTGGGAAGAGGTGTTTGCATGGTGTTTGCCATCCTGAGTGGAGCCTGTGTTGTTTTCTCTCCTAGATCCACGTGCCAGCAGCAGGGACCAGCGATCTGCCTTGTCCTTGCTTAACTCCGTGCAGGAGCAGAAAGTTGTTGGCTGATCCCACCAGGAAAGCTGGCATGGCTGTGCTCCACTTGCACCTGTACCTCACTGCCCTGGGCTGCTGGCTGACACAGCACTCCAGCTCCTTCCTGCTGCCCAATGCCACCGAGCTGCTGTCCCCTCCTGGGGGCACAGCTGCAGGCCTGCTGTGGGACGTGGGGGTCCCTCGGAGCCGTCGGAAGAGATATCTCTCCCCCCATGACATGAGTGTGATTTTGGACTACCACAACCAAGTGCGAGCACAGGTGTCTCCTCCTGCTGCCAACATGGAATATATGGTGAGTTGTGCTCTGGCAGGGCAGTTTTGGGTCCACAGCTCTTGGCTGCTGTGCTGGGGTCAGGGGCCTCACCTGTGACATGGGAGCCCGAACTAGTAGGGATGGGGCACCTACGCATTGGGATATCAGGGTGCTGGATGGATTTGTGGCTGAACACCTGTCCCAGGGGATGTTTCATGCCTCAGAGGCAGGGCAGCTGCAGACCCATGCAGCTTCTGCACAAGAGGCATGGAGTCCCAGCAGGGAGATGTTTCCACCTGAGGGCAGATTTAGGATCTGTGGTCCTGTATCTGGGACATCTGGGAGTTTGCTGGCTGTGGGATGGCAGGATCCATCCAGAGGTAGCACTAGGGGAAGGAAGGTGGTTACAAGCATGAAAAGCTCATGTCCCAACCCAAAGCCAGGTGGGAACCCTCTCTCTTAACTGCAGCTTGGAGAAATGACCCCATTCCCTTGGGAGTGTGCCCAGTGATGTCAGTCCCCAGCAGAAGAAACGTGGAGGAGTGGGTCAGAGAGGGACTGTGCAGCCTTGCTGGGTTGGGCACATCCAGACGAGGGTCATCCTGGGCAGAGCTTCCCCAGGTTGTCTCCATCCTGCTTGGAGCTCATAACTCAGCCTTAAAGTGAGGAGAAACGAGAAGCCACCAAGAGGAAGGATTTCCACCCTGCACAGGGTGGGACCCCCGAGGCAGGAGGTGCCACGTGCTGCTCTGCTCCCAGAGAGGGACTGGAGTGGAGTGGTTGGGTGGTCCCCAGATGCCTGTTTGGGTGAAGCACACAGCAGTCTGGTTTGCTGGGTACCAGAGCAGGTCAGACATGCCCGGGAGCATCCTGTGCTGCTTCTTGCTTGGCCTAAATTCCTGCCTTCCAAAATAACTCACCCAGGCATCTCCCCAAAGCAGATCAGGATGGGTGAGGAAGCTTTAAATAATGCATGAAGGAACCAGCTGTGCTCACTGGTCAGTCTGTGGCCAGGGCTGTGCTGAGGGCTGGGGACAGCTGTGAGCTGCAGCAGCAGCACAGGACTGTGGGGTTTCATCCCTGAGCTCAGCTCCACCTTTTGCAAGAGCTCATTCCCAGAGGGAATCACAGACACAGGGCTTGCACTGCTGCAGAGCATCCCTGCTCTGCCTGGGCAGCAGCCACAGTGGCAGCCTGGGAGATCCATCACTCCTGGACACACTGCTGCGCTTCCAGTTTTCCAGACTGGTGTTTTCCAGTCTGATGCATGAGACTTTTCTTGGACACTCATGGGTGCTCAGAAAGCTCCCTGAGCACAAGGGAGCAGGTTTCTCCTCTTCCCTCATCTGGGAAGCCTGAATTCCTGCCTGCCCTTTTCCTTTCCCCTGGCCAGGTGTGGGATGAGCGGCTGGCCAGGGCAGCAGAGGCATGGGCTGCACGCTGCCTGTGGGACCACGGGCCCCCTGAGCTGATGAAATATGTGGGGCAGAACCTCTCCATCCAGTCGGGCAGGTGAGTGCCCTATGAGCAGACTGAAATCTTGGGAACCCCCACACTCCATGATGCTTGAGGAGAAGCAGCAGCAGCCCCTTGACCAAGGAGCAGAGAGGCTCTGAGCTGGGGTTGCACAGGAGTGAGATGCAGCTGAGAGGCACTCCCCGGGGTGGATGATGAGGATCCAGATCCAGCTCTTGCAGAGGGATAAATACAGGAAACCAGAGGTGCCAGTTGCTCATTTGGAAAGTATGACATTAATCGCCTCTGTGCCTGGCACATGGACCAGGGGGATGTGGGTTCTGGGTCGCCACCACATGGCTGAGAGCTCAGGTGCCTCCATCGAGCGCCAGGTCTTCTGGCCTTGGGCACGAGTGGCCTTGGCACAAGGATGTCATTGCCTTCTTCTCTCCAGGAATGCTTGGTCCCAACAGGCCCTGGCTCCAAAGCATTTATTTCCCCCATTTCCACAATGTGGAACCTTCTCTTCCTCTCCTTCACCTATGACCTCTGATGTGGAAGAAGTCCACCTTAGGTGTAACACCTTTTGCAGGTACCGCTCTGTCATGGAAATGGTGAAATCGTGGCACCAGGAGAAGCAGCACTACTCCTTCCCCCACCCCCGTGAGTGCAACCCACGCTGCCCCTCCAAATGCAGCGGCTCTGTCTGCAGCCACTACACACAGGTGAGCACTGCAGCCCCCACAGCCCCCTGGGACCCAGCTGCAAATGGGGAGCCTTGGGCTACAGCAGCTCCCAGTGCAGCTCACAGCCCTTCTCCCAGCAGCAGCTGGGATCTTGGATCAAATCCTGGCAGCTTCCAGCTTCAGATCTGTCAGCAGTCCTGGCAGCTGCAGCGTGTCTGCCGGAGGGATGCAGGCATCCAGCAGTGATGCCCTCTCACCCTGAGCCCTCTCAGGAATTGGGCTGTTGCAGGGAGGTCCCAGGGGTTCATGGCCTGCTGAAGAGCAGCTGGGACCTTCTGGCCGGCTGACAAGGAGGTCTGCATTTTTAAAGCTTTTTTTCTCCTTCTTAGCCCATTGGCAACTCAGCTGTACTTTTGCTGAGCACGAATCCTCTCCTTTGTGATGGAGCAGCTTTATAGCATCCAGCTCCCTGATAATGCAGCCCCTTCATCCCCTGGCACATACCCCAACAGCCTGGCCAGCACAAGGTGAAAAACTCCCCTGCTCCTCTGCCCAATAGCAAAGCCATTCCAACCCCTAATTATCTCCTCTATACAGCTCCAACCTTTATCTGAGCATCTGATTGCAAAAGGGCAATATACACTTTTTAAAGGAAGAAATTCAGCCTGGAGAGAATTTAGGAGGCGCTTCTGGGTCTGTTTGGCCTCCCTGTGTGCAGGGTAAACTGCTGGCCGTGATTCAGGATGAGGTTTGGGAGCTAATTTGGGTAAATTGGAGAAGTGACCCAGGCTCTGCTGATCATTGACACGAGCTTGGCAAGGCAGCCCCTTGCAGGGCAGTGTGGGCTGCAGGCAGGAAACAGAGAGCAAAAACTCACTCCCTGGTGACAAAGCAACTCCCTGTGATGGGACAGCATCCAGCCAGAGATTTGGGCAGGTGGGATGTGATTCCCTGGTGGGACAAAGCCCTAGGTGATTGGCTGTGGGATTCCTGGGTGGATGGACACTGACAGTGCCTGTTCTCTGTCCTGGCACAGATGGTGTGGGCAACCTCCAGCCGCCTGGGCTGTGCCCTGGGCACCTGTGCCAACGTGCGCGTGTGGGGCAGCACGTGGCGCCATGCCATCCTCCTCGTCTGCAACTACGCCATCAAGTAAGTGCCTGGAGAGAAGCTCCCCATGCCATCCTCCCTCCTCACACCGGTGTCTGTGGTGAAGTGATGATGCTCAGAGGTGATGCCCTCCTCTCTTTTTAGGGGCAACTGGCTGGGAGAAGCGCCGTACAAGGTGGGGCGGCCGTGCTCAGCGTGTCCCCCCACCTACGGCGGGGGCTGCTCCAACAACATGTGCTTCACTGGACTCAAATCCAACCAAGTCAGCTGGTTCTAGGGCTGCACACCCAGGAGGAGCCCCAGGAATGGAGATGGGGTGAACCAGAATTATTTATAACACTGACCCCCAGCAGCCCTTTTGTCCAACCTGCTTCATCCTTAGCACCGCGTAGGAAACTGCTTTTCTAACACACCTCTCCGGCAGTGCTCGTGTTGTCTGGCTGCTTCCCACTTTGGGGGAACTAGGGACAGTTCAGGTCCCTATTTCCTGAAACAGGGATGGTTTAGGGGTGCATAGAGGGAGTGGGGCTGGCTGGTGTGGTCCCTGCTCTGCAGACTTGGGGGACTTTCCCCACTGCCCCCCACCTGAGCTAAGGCAGAGGATGGTGTAAGTGAATACCAAGATGTTTCCCTCATGGAGCATGTCCCTGCTCCATGGCACCCACTTTGACCATGGGGCCCCCAGCTCTGAGCCCCTCAATAAAGCAGCCTGGAGACCCCTGTGCTCGTGTTGGTTCTCCCTCACTCGCAGCCTGGAGCCTCAGGGTAACACTGAGCCAGTGCCTTTGCTCTGGTTTTGGGGGCAAACAGCAAAAGGGTGCAGAAGTCCTCGGTGGGGCCATGGGCCACAGTCACAGGAGATGCCTGGGCGCTTTGCTCCATCGTGTGGGAGAAGCCAGCACTGCTGGGACACCAGGTGACGATGACGCTGAAGGGCCACAAACTCCCTGTCCCACCCAGGCTTTCCCACATGATCCCACTGCCCTACTTCATCTCCAGTGCCACTGAGCACCCCATTAGCCACATCCCTTCCCTCTCTAGGACCTCTCAGCACTCAGCAAACTCAGGGGTCCCAGAATTCCCAGGCCTTGGATCTGAGCATTCTGCTGTGGATTCCTGCACCACAGCCCTCTGTGTCCTGGCAGCACTCTCTCCACACTCCCTTAGGACGTGCTTTTCCATACAGAGGAGCAGATGTCCCTAATTTTGTCCCCTCAGAGCTGTGGAGTTTCAATAGCTGAGGTGTTGGGGGGTCCTGAGACTGGCAGGGATCCCTCCGTGCCTGCTCCAGCCTGGCCCCTTCCGAAGATGTACAGGAGATGTGGAAAGCTCTGTGCTGCTGGCCGATCACATTTTCAGCTCCAGCTCTGGATTCCTCATATATTTGATGTCCTCTCAGCAACACATCTTGCCCTGCTTGCCTCAGTGCAGCCCCTGGGAGCTTGGACTGCTCCTGTCATGGAGTCACCAGTAGCACAGGGGCTGCCAGAGCCCCACAGGAGGTTGGGGACCCCATCTGCATACCTGCAACCATGAGGTGCCCAGTACTCCTCCTGGTTGCTGTGGTCCCAGGCGGAGCACAGATGTCCATGAGTGGCTGTGGCACCTTGCAAGTCCCCCCAATTTGGGGAGCAGAGTGAGTCAGGGAGGAGCTGCAAAGACCCTGCACCTTGGTCTGGCACTCAGGGTACCATCCTGCTCCCCATCGGAGCATCCCTGCAGCTCTCCATCTCCAAGCGACCCCTTGGTTTGGCACCAGGAGGACAAGCCCCAACTCGTGGCCATGGTACTTTGTCCCTTTTACCCTGGCCAACCTCTGCTTGGCCTGTGCCAGCCCCTGCAGTTGTCCCACAGCCCCTAGCCCCCCATGCCGTGTTCGTCCCTCTCAGGCAGGCTCAACTCTGGTTCTCCCATCACGGGTGGGGTGACAGCACAAACCCAGCAGCACCTGGGGTGCTGCAGAGTTGGATCCCACTTCCCCATCCCACCGTGGCTGGGGGCAAACCTGAGCCTGGTGGCTGACCTGGCCTTGACACCATCTGGAAACGGGAGCCCCAAAAGAGTCCAGTAAAAGCCATGTTTGAGTTTCTAGCTTGGCAGCAGTTACTATAGCTACAGCAACGGCACCTTGCAGATTGGTTTCCATAAGAGCTTG